CCTCAGGTCTGTCACTAGTGTGCGTAAAGGAGAGAGTGATGAGAATAGGGAGTGAGGGGGTCAGGGTGCAGTGGCGCGGAATTTCGCTGGCGTGGCTTCCTTCTCCGGCGAGAAACTACACCACCAACGTTTGCGGATAGACAATGGTCAAATGGCGGCGCTCTCAAACGCGTGAAGGGCTCTAGTACTGCAAGAGTACGAGTACAGTATCCGAAGAACGTGGTGGCGAGTTTCGCGCTTCGCTCCCACCCCCCCCTCCAATGGGGATAGATCCTGCAGTTGTTCTCGTGAAGGTTTCTGCGAGACGAATTCGTGTTGCTTTGATTTTGAAATGATTGTTTTGCATTGTGCAACAATTGGAAATGATCCGCTATGCCCCTCTTCTTCCAGTGATTGGTCTTGGTGATAATGAAAGACGCTGACAAAGTTGGATTGAAGTTGCTTGGAACCCATCAGCGTCGTGCTGATGTTCATTCCAAGGAACCTAAATCAGCCCAGAACGTTTCTTCGAGTTGTTCGAAGTCATCCACTCATGGATCGGTAGATTTCCGTCGGCCAAGCAGCAAATCTTCTACTCATGGTTCCGAACAATGTCGTTCTGAAGATTCTGGTGATCATCATACCGGGAACCTTGGAAGTAATCGCAAAATTCGTTTCAAAAGAGCTACATCATTGAGCGAGCATCGTGTGGAACCGCGGAGCCAAAATCGTGTTCGATCAACCTCTGGGCAAGGAGAGTTACATGTCTCCAAGGCTTTGCCTTTGCCCGTAGGGTTTGTTACCCCGAGGAAGTCTTCCAATCCGGATGATTATTTTGCTATGGCCAAGTTTAACGAGTCCCCTGAGCCTTCAGCTGTGCCAGCTCCACCGCTGCATTGGCGTATGAGCCCATGTAAAGCAGAGCTGGAGATGAATCAGATATCTTGTGATGGCATCGACTTGACTGCGCATTTGAAAATGCTGTTGCGTGTTGAAATGTGATTCAATGGTGGGGATTTTTTTTTCCATACCTGAGTCCAGCGAAAGTCCTGTTTTTTTTTCTTTCTTGCGTTCCTGTCAGTCAATTGTGCCGCTTTGTCATGGGCGTGGGAGGGAAGTTCTTGCGGATTAAGACGATGTCCAGTTTTCCATTGCTGAGAGGCTTGATTCAATCCGGAAGACTGGGTCCTGTTTATCGTTCGTGGCATTTTTTTTTTTTAGCTTCAAGAAGATTGTGGGATGCAATATTTCGATTCGACTCAACTTCTGTTTTTGGGCCCCTTCGGTTGTTCAATTTTTACCACTGTTACCATGTTCTGAAGGTGCACCTCGCGGTGAATGTTGTTTTATCACCTGACAGTTCAAAAGGTTTTCGACAACCTCAATCTTTTGGTCCTCAAAATTTTTTTTGTTTGTCCTGATTTAGAGGTTTTGGAGACGATCCGCTCGCAGGCCTCTCAAAAATGTCACCAGCAGCCGTATTATTCATCTAAATTTCTTTCTCGCTTATGACATCAACAAAATGGTCTGTTTTCATAATCTGCGGAACTGGAATCTGGGAGTGTAACGGTTGCACTGTTTCGTGATTCGCTGCCCACGGTGTTTCTAAGCTGCACAAAAGGTTCGTTCACCCAATTCGCCTGCCTCTCGCAGATGGGTTTTCCCCTCTAGGCTTGATACAAGTTTTCTCGTGGTTCTTTCGTGTTGTCTGCGTGGTTCTATTTTCAGTATTCATGAATTGATGTCAGACTTCGTGTGAATTCTTGGTGTACTGTTCCTTCTTGCTGCTAGAACTCTTCTTCTCAGCTGTCTTTATTGTTGGTGGGTGTATGTTTTGGCCAGTCAATTTTGCCGCAATGGTTGCAACTTTGTGACCAGAATCAGCCATCGAGGTCTTTTTGTGTGGAGGAACCGTTATATTTGAACAAGCTCGTTTTGTTGCTTTAATCTAGAAAATCCTTTTTCGGAAATGGGCTGGTGATGTTGTATGATCTCTTGTGCTTCTCGATATGCCACAAAATTTGCGAAAATGACGTCAAAACTTGGAGATGAACTTCGTGCACCGTAAGAGATGAAGATGTGAGCGGGAAAAAATATTCTTCATTCCGCTGAAGCATATTGTTGTTCTATGGAAGAAACATTATTTTTGGTGAATAGCTCATGTAAAATAAAACCTTGAATTAATGAATGTTACTAAAAGTCGATGTGCACCAAGTTTGGGACTTCGAAATGTCATTCAGTAATTCTAGTGCGATTTAATATACAGTATTTAAAGGAGCCCATTTCATTATAAAATATGCACGGCTTTTTCTAGGTGGAGATAACTTGGCTCATAGTGGAGTTGACCCTTACAATTTTCTGTATTGATGACTTCGATGTTGTGTTGTTCGGCTAGGTGTTGAAAGGCAATGTGGACGAGTATAATTTGTGTACTTTTTGTGTCAAGTGCGCCGAGCAACCCTGCCAAAATTTAAAACTGTGGACTCACGGTGAATATTCTTGCTCAGAGGATTAATTTTGCGACGTTTTTGAAGATGTTGAAATCATTTCCAGAAGATGAGTTTTGTTATGAGGACTTTCCAATGACCTAAATTTTTGACGCCGGTAGATTCTGAGCTGAATCTTTAAGTGGTGATCTGGAGTTTATTTTCATTTTAAAAATTTGTTTTCTTTTGGGAATCCATCCAATGAAGGCACTGTGGCAGGTCTCTGCACTCTTGCTCCTGCTCTGTGCGCGTTAGGATAATTTTGATGTGATAGCTTTTTGTTAGAATTGTCCCCATGAGACACCTGGCTGTCGGGAGGGGAAGCAGAATTTGCAAGAATGCTACCAAACTTGGAATTATGGGTGGGAAGTGTTCAGTTTTATTTTCAACTTTCTTTTTGGTGGAAGTTCAAAGATGTCTTGTGCTTCAGAGTTGCATTTTGTTTAGTCTTGCGCGATCGAGTTTGTTACCTCAGCAACTGGGTGACACAATTTTTCTTTTTTTTTTGTACCATTTCTGAGTGACTGCTTTCGTTCCGTATGGGGTTTCTGGATCTCTCGATTGGGAAGGCGGATGTTGAGGCGCGTTGTGAATTGATCTGTGTTTGAGTATGCAAAAAAAAAAAAAATTTGAAAACCTTCAATGAGGAGGAAAATTTCGAAAAACAAAAAAAATTGCTTTTGGGTGTGAGGGGAGGGAGGTCCTTTGAAATTTTCTGCGCCCATCTTATGAATATCTGTGCTTTTGCAAATCATGGACCTTGCAGACAAATAGACTTCACATTTCTTGGACATGCTCCTGTCTTGGACGGTGGATTGTCGTCATCAAAACCCGGATTTTAAAAGGCCCTTTTCAGGGCCCACTACCGTTTTATGAAACTTCCTTTCCATTATTCATAGCAAGTGGTAGGCATTGAGTCTTGGAGTTTTGCTGAAGAATCTTTGAGTCTCCCGCTCTGCAATATACCGTGTTGTTTCAACTTGGTTTTTGCGGATGCTGTGAGAGACTTGGATTTTTTGGTTGAAGATTCCTTGATCCTCCACCACACGACTGTCTGATTTTTGTTCTGCTTTAGAGTGGATCATAGAAACTTGCTTGCATGTCCTAATTTTAGTGTCCGCACTGTCATCTTCTGAATTTTTTGTTCTGGGATTTGTAATCCTAAATCACGGCAAACTTCGAATGTGGAATTCGATTTAGTACTACACTTATATCTATTTTTTTTTGTCCTGGGCTATTCAATCATGGATCTCGAAAAAATTCGAATTCGATTTGCTGTTTTAATTGTGTACCCCGTTGAAAGTGTTCCTGCGTCCGGCGTGATGGTTTCTGCATCCTTGTGATACCTAAGAATGTATTGATCCTTGGTATAGGTCTGTAAGTTGTATTTTATCAGGTGAATGTCCACTTTGAGATAAAGCTTTGTTGGAGGCCTTTGCTATTGTCCCTTTCATATTGTCAAAATGAGAATAGAGTCACTCCTAGAAGTGCATGGTTTGTTTTACTTTGTATTACTGTATACTAATGTGGATCTCGAGTTTCCGTAAAAGGTTCATCTTATGATTCGACCAAAAGATGAAGCTGTTCCTAGTTGAATGCAAGTTTCTTAATTTGAAAGATACTCTAGCTTGAGGTAAACGGGAGAGTAGAAAGTCCAAAATTATTGTACTAAAAATTCTACCGAACCCTCGTCCACTGTCCGAACTTCGTCTCAGCTAATGGAAGCTACTCAAAACCTCAGCAAGGAATTTTTCTTGGGACTACGCTGACTGTTGGCAGTTTATTATCTACTGACAGGTGCGTGTGAGTGGATCTGAATTTTTCCCTGTTGAGAACATAATGACGGTCCATGATTAATTTTCCTAAACACACTTTTCTCTCACCCGAATCTTCGCTTGTGACGATCTATTTCATGTCTTCAAATTTGCAGGCATCGGACGAATCCATTCCGGAAGACTGCTACCTTTAGCGGTAAAGAAGCAAGAAGTCATCGAACCGTGTGTTCCGCATCAACAGTGGTCAATCAGAAGTTTACGGTCAAATAATCCCTTCATGAACATCTTTTCCGGTGAATCAAGAATGTTTGAGTTTCTATCATAATGGGGATAACCATCCTGCCAGGGCCGAATACAGTTGGACTTCGATAACTCAAACTTCCCCGAGTTGAGTACCTCTTGATGACAAATTTGTTTTCCAAGTCCCTGTCTGAATTCCATTAGGAAGAATGCACTCAAAACCACCCTAACTTGAAGGCATCCATCACCCGATTTATGGAGGTCTTCTGGCTATTATTCTTTTGACCACAGGAGAGAGAAGAGCAATATAAATTTAACCTGATACATTTTTGAAAGGAAGTCAAATACTGACTAATAGGGCAAATGAACCCTTGCCTCCCAGTTTGGCATCCTGTCAACTCATTTAAGAATCAATTCAATGCCCCAACTATCACCCATTACAAAGCCCTGTAATTCTTTTTTTCCCCTCACAAAAATGCTTTGTTTCCCAAAGCTTGAATTTTGTTGTGGTCCCTTGAAGTTCAACTCATAGGTTCAATCGCACTGATGTTCAGTACTGTACGTCAAAATTTTTCTAAATCACTGTCCTACGCTTTTAACGAGCAATGTTATGAAGACGGAAAACTTTCCCTTAAACCTCTCGAGTTCGGATTTCTAGGATACCATTGTGGGGACCCAGGAAATAGAAAAGCAGTAGAAATATAACCTGATGCTTTATTTAAAGTTAAGGTCAGAAATTCATTGCGTTGATTATCTTGATTGTGAGACTTGTGACAGATCATAGTGTGTTGAACATTTTTTGTTGTAATTTTCCGTTTTATGTTTCTTTGAGATTCAATAAAGATGCCATTTATTTGACAATGAGCGTGTTCTGGTTTTATAGGACGAAAAGTATTTGTAATCTTCATGTTCTGTGATGTTCGCAGATACTATTTCTGTTTTCTCCGAGAAAATGGAATGGTTGCAAGAAGTGATCTATTATCTACTGCTAGTTCCGATGTCTGTTCCTGTTTTCTTGTTCTTCAGGTATCTCTCATGGATGGGATACGAGCTGTTCATCAACAATTGAAGGTATAATGATGAACGTGACGAGCTAATTGCACTCGTCTGATGGCTACAACGTGAATACTATAATTGAGCTTTTGTTTTTTCCATCTAGTTGTCGAGTAATCTGTTGATTCTATGAATATTCCCGAATTTGGACCTCTTAGAGGAATTCTGAGATCGTTCCGAAGACACTTCGAGACGTGCAGCGTTTCGGTTCAATTCTAATATATTTTGGTATGTACTTCAAAAGCGAGACTTTCGAAATTCATTACCTGAAATCGGCTACATTTTTCCGCAGAGTTCTTGGAATGACTTGAAAGCGTCATGGAAGACTTCTGGAGTCAGAAACGCAGCTTTTTTCAGGAAGAACTTGATCAAGAAAAGCACCTCGACTTGAAGCGTGTCAAATTCAAATGCAGGATGGTGATACATTTGGTCTTCGGGTCTTTTTTCTTCCGACAGAAAAGAGAAACATTCTCGATGCTTGAAACATTGTGCTCGTGAAAATCGGAATTCGGGAAAAATATGTGCCTAGAAATTGATGCAGATGAACACCGGGAATTTTTTACCAGCTTTCAACAATGTTTTTTGTGGTTGAATCATTCATAATTACAGTACTGTACAGTGAGAGATACCAATCTCGAACACAACTTTATCACACTATCTCTCCTGCAGATCTACAAGGACGCGACCCTAATGCCAACTGGGAAAAACATCCGCCGGAAAGGGCAACGGCACCTAACAGACCCCGCCACCGAAAAAGACAATGAAACCTAACGGAACCGAGGTCACACACACGGACACATAAGGACAACCCCAAACGGAAGACTTCACTTCAGTCCAAACTTCTGCACCGACCACGTCTCTTAGCTATTCCGTGTATCTTGTGTCTTGTGCATAACAAAACCCTTCTGTGTCCTTGTCAGAACCAACCGCCTACAACAGAAAATATACTCTTGTATTTTACGTGTATATCATCTACCGATTTCCTACACTTACTGGGGGCTCGTCTGCCAACCTACAACACCAGACCCGACCACAACCATCACCATGCCCAGGGATAAGGAAACATCCAAAGCCGCCAAACAGGCAGCCCTCGAGCTGGCCCAGGTCCAGTCAGCGTGCGCAGCATCCCTCAGGCAACAGCCGGAACATCCAACCCCACCTACGGAGAACGCTGCATCCGAGTCATCGCTGGGCAGGCCGCCCAGTGCAATCTCCTCCACCTCGACGCCGCATCCGTGGGACTTCATCTCCTTGACACTGCAGCGCTTCACATAGACCTATGTGGCCAAACGCCCGCCAACTACGGAGAAACCGAGCTATATCACACTACTCAAAAACCTGAACATCTCGCTGGTAACCCTCCTAATGTTCCAGATGTCCCACGCAGATACCGCCACATCAGCCAGCCCTCCAGGGCCCCGCATACCGCCACCGCCATCGTGGTGCGTCCACGACCACCGTGCCCCGGACCTCCCGAAGCAGGACAGCAACGAGGATTTTGAGGACTATGCCATCCGTTTACGGGAACTCCTGATCATTGACAACGTTGACGACAACGACAAGGTCAGGTGCCTCATCCACAACACCTCCCGCAATGTCTCCAACACGGCCTGCCGCGCCTATGCCTCCAGCGCACACACGTTCAAGGACCTCGTCAAGGCAATCACCAGGTTCCACCCGACGCCGCAGTTCAAACAACTCCGGCGCTTCCGACACCTGCAAATCAACACCAACAAGACGTACTGCTGTTTTGCCAAGCGGTTACAGGACAACTACCAGCTGTTCCTCCGTCTAGCCCCAGACGACGTCACACTGGAACATCTGTACGTCATGCATCCAATGCTCATCAAACAACTCCTCCAGGTGGCTGATGCCCGCATTGCCGACAAACTCTGTGCAAAGCTCAACACAAAACCGGACATCCAGTGGGACAAACTCATGGACCTTGCCGACAGCATTTGCAACCTGCTCGACAAACAATCCAACAGCACAGCCACCGCCACAATGCCCACAAAAAATTGGCCGGACCGCCAAACCCGCACCACACCAGGCGCCAAGCTGTACTGCAACTGGCACCGCTCCCAGGGGCACACCACAGAAACCTGCCGCGCACGCTTTTGGGAAACCAAACACCCAGCCCATACCAAGCGGGACCACGACGACAAGGAGAAGACAGACATGGTCCCAGCCAGCACCGGCAATACCGCGGCCAGCAGCATTCTCCCATGCGCCTCCTGCCAGAAGACGGGACACCATGCCAAAGAGTGCCCTCAGCTGAAGGGANCGACAGAAAAGAGAAACATTCTCGATGCTTGAAACATTGTGCTCGTGAAAATCGGAATTCGGGAAAAATATGTGCCTAGAAATTGATGCAGATGAACACCGGGAATTTTTTACCAGCTTTCAACAATGTTTTTTGTGGTTGAATCATTCATAATTACAGTACAGTACTGTGCAGTGAGAGATACCAATCTCGAACACAACTTTATCACACTATCTCTCCCGCAGATCTACAAGGACGCGACCCTAATGCCAACTGGGAAAAACATCCGCCGGAAAGGGCAACGGCACCTAACAGACCCCGCCACCGAAAAAGACAATGAAACCTAACAGAACCGAGGTCACACACACGGACACATAAGGACAACCCCAAACGGAAGACTTCACTTCAGTCCAAACTTCTGCACCGACCACGTCTCTTAGCTATTCCGTGTATCTTGTGTCTTGTGCATAACAAAACCCTTCTGTGTCCTCGTCAGAACCAACCGCCTACAACAGAAAATATACTCTTGTATTTTACGTGTATATCATCTACCGATTTCCTACACTTACTGGGGGCTCGTCCGCCAACCTACAACACCAGACCCGACCACGACCATCACCATGCCCAGGGATACGGAAACATCCAAAGCCGCCAAACAGGCAGCCCTCGAGCTGGCCCAGGTCCAGTCAGCGTGCGCAGCATCCCTCAGGCAACAGCCGGAACATCCAACCCCACCTACGGAGAACACTGCATCCGAGTCGTCGCTGGGCAGGCCGCCCAGTGCAATCTCCTCCACCTCGACGCCGCATCCGTGGGACTTCATCTCCTTGACACTGCAGCGCTTCACATAGACCTATGTGGCCAAACGCCCGCCAACTACGGAGAAACCGAGCTATATCACACTACTCGAAAACCTGAACATCTTGCTGGTAACCCTCCTAATGTTCCAGATGTCCCACGCAGATACCGCCACATCAGCCAGCCCTCCAGGGCCCCGCATACCGCCACTGCCATCGCGGTGCGTCCATGACCACCGTGCCCCGGACCTCCCGAAGCAGGACAGCGACGAGGATTTTGAGGACTATGCCATCCGTTTACGGGAACTCCTGATCATTGACAACGTTGACGACAACGACAAGGTCAGGTGCCTCATCCACAACACCTCCCGCAACATCTCCAACACGGCCCGCCGCGCCTATGCCTCCAGCGCACACACGTTTGAGGACCTCGTCAAGGCAATCACCAGGTTCCACCCGACGCCGCAGTTTAAACAACTCCGGCGCTTCCGACACCTGCAAATCAACACCAACAAGACGTACTGCTGTTTTGCCAAGCGGTTACAGGACAACTACCAGCTGTTCCTCCGTCTAGCCCCAGACGACGTCACACCGGAACATCTGTACATCATGCATCCAATGCTCATCAAACAACTCCTCCAGGTGGCTGATGCCCGCATTGCCAACAAACTCTGTGCAAAGCTCAACACAAAACCGGACATCCAGTGGGACAAACTCGTGGACCTTGCCAACAGCATTTGCAACCTGCTTGACAAACAATCCGACAGCACAGCCACCACCACAATGCCCACAAAAAATTGGCCGGACCGCCAAACCCGCACCACACCAGGCGCCAAGCTGTACTGCGACTGGCACTGCTCCCAGGGGCACACCACAGAAACCTGCCGCGCACGCTTTTGGGAAACCAAACACCCAGCCCATACCAAGCGGGACCGCGACGACAAGGAGAAGACAGACATGGTCCCAGCCAGCACCGGCAATACCGCGGCCAGCAGCATTCTCCCATGCGCCTCCTGCCAGAAGACGGGACACCATGCCAAAGAGTGCCCTCAGCTGAAGGGAAATGGATGGAGGGAGTAGTAACGGCGGCGCTCTGCTCTCTCACCACCGCATCCTACGCCTCCAACCCCATACTCCTACAAGTTGCCGTCGGCGACCACCAGTGTGACGCCATGATCAACACAGGCGCTTCCCACTCGTTTGTGGAACAACAGTGGGCAACAACACACGGCCTCCAGCTGCACCAAACCGACGTCAATGTCTCGACGGCCGACACATCCAACATCCGCATCATGGACATGGTCCAGGTGGACTTGCTCATACACGACAAACCTTACCCCACTACCCTATGGGTCCTGCCACTCGCAGCGCATCCCATCATCATGGGCCGGGACCTATTGGGACAACTGCCCATCACCATTGGACTTGACAGCGACCGACTCTACGTTGGGTACAGATTCCACGCCAAACGCTGCGCAATCCCGAGCATCACGACCGGCCAAGGCATCACGTTCATCAAAGGGACCTGCAACGAATGGGACAAAATCCGCCGAATTCTGGTGCAACACCAGGATGCAGTGTTCCAGTGGTCGGGACGGCATGGCTGCCTCCCGAATACACCGTCACCCTGGAGACAACAACCGCCGCCCCGCCAGCTTCACCACCTTTCTGACAGGCACCCAACAAGCTGGCCCCCTTCAAGGAGATCATCGCCGACTACGTCGCCGCCGGGATCATCAAACCCGCAATGTCCCCGTACAACTCACCAGCATTTCTCACACCTAAGAAATCCGGTCGCGCCGACGCACCTGCAACCAAAAGATGGCGACTTGTTGAGGACTACCGAAAAATCAACACGCTGCTGGTCCCTGACAACTATTCAATGCCGATGATACAGGACCTTGTCGACGCGCTGGGACACTGCAACGCCTACTTCTGCACCATTGATCTCCACAACGCCTTCCACCATCTGCCAATTGTGCCGCAGGACCGCCCCAAGACCGCATTCTCCACCCCCAGGGGCAGATGCAGTACGCGGTCCTCCCTTTTGGACTACAAAATGGGCCAGCCCTGTTTCAACGGGCCATCAATTTGATCCTGCGCCCACACCTACTCACGAAGTGCCTGGCGTACATCAACAACATCATTGTCTTTGGGGAAACGTTTGACTCCATCTGCCAGAACCTACAGGACGTACTCACTGCACTGGACAACGCCAGGGCATCCATCGACATCAACAAGTCCACGTTCCTGGCTTGCCACATTGAATTCCTGGCTCGCCACATTGAATTCCTGGGGCTGGTCATTGACCAAACGGGGGCCCAGCTGGCCCCCCACAACCTCGCAGCCCTTGAACAGTACCCGAGGCCCAGCACCACAAAGGAGATGCAACGCTTCCTGGGATTGGCCACGTACTTACAAGCCCACATCCCCCTCAACTTTGCGACAGCGGAAAAAGTCCTGCGGAGCACCATCCCGGCCAAGCCAAGCATGACGCTGCGTTGGGACGCACCCGCCGCCCAAGCCTTTCTGGACCTAAAACAGGCCATTGTGCACGCAGCACGCTTGGAGCACTATGACAAAGCACAGCCCATCGAAGTCCATACGGACGCATCCGCCACCAGCCTGGGCGCGGTACTGGTCCAGATCCACCCCAACAATGGGCCCGCCGTCATCCAGTATGCCAGCCGGGTGCTCACCAACTCGGAGAC